ATTTCCATCTCTTTGAACATTTTTTAAATTTTTTCATTAACACGTAAGACGACTGTATGCATTTATGGCATACAGTGTGCTATTTCAATACAGTTATGCAATGCACTCCAATCAAATCAAGGCGACCAGCATTCCCGTGTCCTTATCATTACTTTATGTTTGGAAACTTCAAGCCCCTGTCCTCTAGTCCTGGATACAATAATCGATCAATAAATCCATTAGGAAGATGGCCCTATTTTGCCTGCATTTTCCAATCCATTTGTCTATTGGGCTGGGAAGCTTTCAATTCAGTGAGTTACTTTTCAGTCTCTGGCAATGAGTTCTGACTGCTCACAAGCCCCTTCTGGGAATCTGCAATACATCAGTTACTGGACAGACGAAGCTCCCTGCCCGGAAGGAGCATATACTCTAGTCAGGGAGACAGATGAGGAGCGATAAGCACAGGGAGCAGGTGAAAGAGCAAATGGAAGCGGGAGTCCTGGGATGGGAGGTGGTGCCTGCTGAGGGTCAGCGACAGAACAGTGCCTTAGACAAACTGGCCTCGAAGAGCTCAGCTCAGGGCTGCACAGGGGAGCCTTCCGCACCCCGGCAGGGCTCAGGTGGCAGTGAGCTCGGCCAGCTGGGGTACCCACTTTGGCAGGAACGCGAAGCCACAAGTGGTGCGTTACCCCTGTTCCGCCGAGCAGGGAGCCGACACCAGCAGATGGATGGGCCACTGGGACTCGGAGAGCAGCATGTTCACCCCTGGTCCTCAGTGGTGAGGATCCCAAGCACAGCTTTCGTGCTTGTTCGTCAGGACTTGTGTGGCCACGGCCACATCCCAGTGGCCAGACAGGCGGCACCCAGTTGGGTCCATGCTCGCAATGGAGTTAGGTGAACCTCAGGCACTCCGCTCACCAGCTTCAGAGTCAGGGTCGGAACAGCAGGCCGAGTGTGCGACCGCACTGAGGTCACCGGCATCTCCCACTAGTTCCACCTCACGCCACCTTAGTAACCCTGAGTGCATCGCTTGATTCCTTTATGCCTCAGTTTCGCACCTACCAAATCAAGACTCTGCCCAGTCTGTGTCACAAATTTGGGGTCCTATTTAAGTGAGATCACAGACACGGAAGTATGCTGGAAGATATAAAGCACAGGGCAATGTGGCCTATCTACCTCCACATCCTCAGAACCCAGCAGTGTCTTCCTCTTAGGTATGACCTGCAAGTACACAATGAAAGTAAAGTATATAGGGCAGCTACCTGTATAAATCAGGCCAAATAAAATATTGTGCAGATGTTTTACTTGAAGATAATTTTAAACAGAGGTTATTTCAAAACATGATGGAAAACTCTGGATTATTTGCAGTTTAGTTTATTATGTCCTTTGATCTAGAAAAAATACAAGATAGTCTTACCCCCCAAAAGGGAGGATAAAGGGCAAAGAAAAGAAAAAGAATGTTACTAAGATCAGCACAAGAAAGAGATAAGAAAACTCCAAGTTAATAATGTCTCCATTTGGCATGTGACATGCCACTGGATTGCTTTGATGTTACAGTTGGATGCGAAAGAGAGAAGAAAATATTTTGTACTCGGGCTAAGTTCCAGGTGCCAAGAATCCTAGCGGATGAGTGAAGAAAGTCCAGCTGAATCCGACACGGAGCTATTTGATTACTGAAACTGGAATCCACCAAAAAGGCCTACTGAGCCAGAAGCCTTCAGGTGAGGGCAGAAAACTCCGTCTCTCCCACCTGGAAAGTGCCCTTACTGCTGCTTGAAATCATGAAGTACGATTTTGAGAGCGCTCTTTGTTAGTTGGAATAGCTGCGGAAGGTCCGGGTGGAGGAGAGAGGAACTTCCAAATCATCCCCAGTGATTTCTCCTACTGAGAGTTTGCAGGGACTTATTCTTGTCCCTTTTATAAAACTGGCCCTTCCTAAAGCACCGATTTCTCTTGAAAAAAAATTCTGGAAACTACTGGGTCAGTTGAAACTACGTAAGGCAAGTTTTGCAGTTTTCTAGATAGATGTTCAAGAAATATAAACACCTAGCTGCTGTTCTGAGATACTGTTCTTCTTCAGTTTAACAAACGCTGCCAAAGGAATGAAAAAGTACATTTATAGCAGGAAATTAACCTCAGAATTTACCCCCAATTTCTGCCTTGGTGTTTGCTTGTTTGGGCAGTTGGTTGGTTGGTTGGTTGGTTGGTTTTCTGCAAAGCAAAAGATGCCACTGGTCCCCGTGTGTCCTACTTCATAAGGACAAGCTCAAAGGCTGCAGGCCATGGCACAAGGTCTGACAGGAGCTTGTCCACTGCGCACAGAAAGCAAGCAAGGTCCAAGCAAGGCCTCAGCATCTAACTTGGGGTCCACCCAGCCTGGGCTCCGTCTACACCACCGCTCAAAAACACTGTGACCCCAGGTCTGCCTCAGTCTGCTCAGCTGGAAAATGGGGACAATAATAATAATACACAGCAGGCTTATGGTCAGTATCTAATAGGTAACATTCTATAACTTAAATTTAAATGAATAATTATTAAAACAATACGAAGATTGAGGTAAGCTTATCTGTAAAATTAAATCCGTTGAGTGAATCTGCGGCTGGAAGAGCGCCTGGTACGCCATGAAAACCTGGGTGACTTGGCGCAAGGACGGCGGGGGTGAGGAGGTGAACATCTGTTCTTGAGCCCTCCTCAAAGCGCACACAGAATGTTTTCTTCTCCAAAGGGACTCACGACCCAGGAACAAGCTCGCCACAGAGCGAGGGCAATCGACGCCGCAGCAGCGGTTCCGCATTAACACCCGAAAGCCAGCAGCCCAGCAGCCTGGGCGTCATCCCGGGAGGCGCCCTCCCCCGGCCGCTGCCTTCTCTTCCTTTGCCAACCAGAAAGGCTCTGTGGATCCATGTGGGAAAGTCCTCCTGCCACCCACGAGGAAACCGTGCCCCCTTCACTGCCCCCACTGAGGTCAGGGCACAGGGACAAAGGAGGCGACGCTGATGAAGACTCGAGGAGGAGAGAAAGGGCTAGGAGGGCCCTCGAAGAAGAGAGCCACCCCCAGGCCTTAACAGGGGCACCCAGGCTGGGTGGGGGCCATCGGAGGGGACCAGAGCCAGGGAGGCCCTGTGGGTTGCAGACCTAGGTCCCCAACACTGCGAATGAACAGGGACGGGGACAGCAGTCACAATGAGGGTGAACCGGACCTCAGGCCCCGCTGGGGACACCCATGACACAGCCGTGACGGGAAATCCAGACCCACCTCAGAGCTACAGCTGCAGGAGGGTGGGGACTTGGCTCGCTGTCGCCCCTACATTTGCACATCGTGGTGGAGAGGGGCAGCATCCTCCAGGAGCTGGGCGCCATCCTGAGCACTCGATGTGTCGACTGCAGCCATATTTGGGGAACAGAGTGGTAGGGCGTTGAAATAACTGGAAGAACCTCAGTTCAGAGCAACCAAAAGAGCCTAGCAGAATGAAAATTAATCAGCACAATTTCTGATCAGTGCTGTAGGAGGTGTATTTTTAATGCATCTGATTGCTGAACTCTATGCATAGATCTAACTGCTGCTTCCCGCGAACTTCAACATTAAGTAGCCTACCTGCTAAAGCCTAAGGCAGTCTTTTTCCCTAAAAGGGGACATTAGAACACCAGATCTGGAGGCAGCTGATCTTAATTTCCAAAAAGAAAATGATCCCTTGGTCTCAAAGTTTGGAATTATTGTCTTAAGAAAAGTTGGGCTGTGTTGGTTTTATTTTGTTATGCGACTTCCACTGCAGGACTTCTCAGAACCTTGGCTGGCCTGAGGAGAGCAACCAGTGAAAGGCTCCTCCTGGACACCTGCCGAAGCATCTCCCAGACCTGAGAGCGTCTGGTGAACACTATGTAGGAAATGCTGGTGTGGGTTCATTTTATTATTTTAGCTGAAATCTAGCCTGTTCCAAGCCTCAGACACCCACTTCCTCCCAAGACAAGAATCCGGAAGAAGTTTCCAGCTATCTCCTTGCTGCATTAGCTGGGGTGACGGCCGCTGGGCAGTTGATCTCACAGATCTTGTCAGTGTGCGCAGCTGTGGTCTCTCCTTGAGCAACAGAGTCCATGTGCGAGTGAAATCGCACGGGAAAACTCGAAGATTCCTTCCTTCCTGGGCCCCATGCCCAAGAGCTCTGATGGGGGAGTAGGGGCACGGGGTACTGGGCTTAAGACCCCCAGGATTCTAATGCACAGCCCAGGCTGAGGCCCCGGCTCTGTAAAGCATCTTCCCACTTAGAGCCCCGGTTAGGCTGTGCCGGGCCTAGCTCGCTTGTCATTATAATGCAGTATCATGTTTCAGAGAGAGAGGGAGGGGAGGCTCCGCAGAGAAAGAAGAGTCACTTCACTGAACTAAAACTGGCATCCGGAGCCTCACGAGTGTCCCTGAGGAGCTTGGTGTCCCCCCATGTCCTCCTGTGCATGTTTGTTGCTAAGCCCAGACTTTCAGCTGCCCGGGGCTGACTCGGCACCTATGCATCCTGAGTCCCATTTGGACTGGAGCGCCCACCCGCCGTTTAGTTATTCATGAAATATTTACTGGTTTGGGCAGCAAAGGGTGGTGAGGAATGGCTCTGGAACCATAGTTTCTATACTGGACTCCCCACCTACACCTGATTGCTACTGGGTGCCCAGCATAAGTTGTCTAACCTCTCTGCCTCAGTTTACCCATCTGTAGAGTGGGAGGAATAATCCCCAGTATTTCACCAAGTGTTGTGAGGCTTAAACAAGCAAATCCACAGAGAGGTGTAGAATAACAACTGGCACACAGAGGTTTCCAGAAAGTGCTGGCTTTTATGACTGTCTTTATTCTCTTGGGGAACAGGTCAGCTCCAGGCTTTGAGAGGTACAGAGTAGGTGAAGGCTGTGCTCCTGTTCCCCAGAAACTCACAGCTGGGGCTGGGAGACAGACACACAGATGGACGGAGTGTGATCCATGTGACTGGGCTGTCATGACGTTGTGCACAAAGCTCCAGGAAGCCCTGAGGACAGCGTGAATGAGCAAGGCAGGACAGCTTCCCGAAAGCGGTGGCATCAGACTGGGCCTGAAAGGGTCAGGTCACAGCCCCGGGCTCCATCACTTGCTACCAGAGTGACCCAGAAGAGAAGACAGGATGAGTCGAGAATGCAACCATCAGCACCTCCCAGGAGTTTGCCAGCCTGGCAAGGCAAAGACACCAAGACAGGGACCCAGCTCCAAAGTACTCGCGGACACTGTCCAGCAGGCGGGGGCCTTGGCTTACGCAGAGGCTGGGTGCTCCATGGCATGGTCCAGAAAGGGCACCAGGGCTTGCGACCAGCAGGCCCAGGTGGGGAGCAGTGGGAGGAGGACCTGCTCTGCTCGGGAGTTTCACAAGGCACAAACATTCCAGGTCTGGCCCCTGCCTCAGCCTTTCAGGAAATCCTGTCATTCAGCCAGGACATATATCCCACTCGGACCGATTTGACCAAGACCTTGGACTCGACATTCTTCCTGTCCTAGGCAGGGCCCATCTCACCTCTGGCTCAATCCAGGAATAGGAAAGGATTTAAAAGTAAACGCTGAAATGAGAAAGATCTCGCTGGGCAGTCATCAAACGCCGTTACAATAGACAGGGCTCTGGCAGGTGCCTGACACGGCAGAGGCTCAAGGCTTGCTCAACATGCTGCGACGTTCAATGATGATTTTGCTTGGGTTGGTTTTGCAAAGCTCCTGCTCTCTGGCTGAAACCTCAGGACAGGTAAGATGAAACTTTCATACTTTTTAGTTGTTAATTTTCACAATGTGTTCAAAGGCAGTTTGTTTTCCCATCTGGACTCGCAGAACCAAGAGAAAGTTCACAGGAGAGAGGCCCAATGGAGGTGCACTGTGGTGCTGAGGTGGTACCGACCCACTTGGCTTTCTAGTCCCTCCCGGAGTCGCCCTCCACTGTGAGAACCTGTGGTTCTAGCGCTAGCATTCCTCTTCTTCTCTCGGACTTGTGTATTCTGGGTTTTGTTTCTTTCAATCGCCTCACCACTGTGAATTCCTGCCAGGCCATATTTCCAAGTGTAGAAAACAAACATGGCTGTGGAGAAATATTCTGGAGAATTCCAGGGCAATGACAGCTTGATACGGAAGTATCAGAAATGTTTATGAAATCACTGGGCTGGGTGCTGGTGCATCCCTTCTGCTTCCCTCAGAGCTGGGCAATTGCTCTGGTTGTCCCTGCTCAGACATCGGCTCCTGGGACCCTGGATAGGTCACACAGACTCATCACAGTGAGCATCAGGAGAGTCAGGCTGGATGACTGATGTAAAATGTATTTGCAATGTCTGATTTGGGCTCTCAATCCTAAACATGGACCAGGCAAATTTTCAGCAACCAGAGTCCTCCGGCTGGCTGTCTTCTGATGATACTTTTCATGAAAACATGGAAGATGGAATTACCATTCCCCCTGGGGAGTTAGTTGGGGCTGAGTTGGCATGTTCCTCTGGTGTCTGCTTAGGGCTCCACAAGTTGGCAGCTGGACCCTGAGCAGGTAACTTAACCCCTCCAGGCTTCAGCTTCCCACCTGAACTCGCTCCATACATGGTGCAACCATAATCACCAGCATTTTCATCACCAAGTGTTGGCTGTCATGCAGAAACCCAGCCTTCTCTAATGCTGAGTTTGCTTTCAGAGGGGATATGATTGTAAATACTGAATGACAGGTAAATGAGCCATTCCACTCAAAAGAGCCAATTTGAAAGCCAAGGGATTTCTTTAAAAGAGAGTAGCAAATTCAGCCTGCTAAGAAAGAAATGTCAAAATAATATCACCCTATACACCTATCCAAGAAAAAGCCCGCTTTCAAAAATATGTATATTGTAGCTGGGCCTAGTGGTGCAGACCTATAATCCCAGCACTCAGGAGGCTGAGGCAGGAGGATCATCACAAATCTGAGGCCAGGCTGGGCTATGTAGTAAATTCAAGGGTACGTAGTGAACTACATAGTGAGACCCTGTCTCATGAACCCCCCCGAAAAAGGAGAAAAAATAGAGGTGTCATTGCAGCTAAAGGGGATTAATCCAAATGTGCCTTTTATCAATCTGCAGAGTACTTCAGTGCTATTTTAGTTTGTAAGGATGGCCAAATGGAAGCTTCCAGAAAAAACAGAAATATAATTTTCCATGTGCCACTTGGGTGTGGGGAAGAGACAGGAGGGCTATGTAAGGAGTCAGAAGACCACAGCTCACGGTGCATCCTTACACAAGTCCCTGCACTGGCCCTGCCCGGTCCCCTGAGATGAGGATGCTGATGCCAGCCCTATTTATCTCCGGAGCACAGAGCCTGAGGCCTGCGGACCTCGAGCAGCCTGCTTTCCAATGTCCTTGTTTGACACACTCATGCTGAGCTCTGTCTCGGGCTCCTCAGCTGGGTGAGTGAGTAGTGACGTTGTGTCACCTTGCAGGACACGGGGCTCTAGACCAGAAATGCGAATCAGTGCTCTGCCCTCACCCACGGCCGGGACAGACACTCCTGGTGGTGCCAATGCTGAGATCTCCAGATGAGCTGGCAGCAGCAGGCCAGTCACGACCAGCCCGAACCTTTGCCATCCCAGACATCAGCAGGACCAGGCAGAGGGGAAGACTGGGCCGGCCAACATTTCCCAGGGAATTGCTAATGGGATTGGTACTCTTTGTTGTGTTTGTGCAGGGAAACCGATGTGATAAGAAGTCTGCCCTGATAATTAGGACCAAGTGTCAGTCCTGCTTGCTTAATTTGAGAGCCAAGTGCCCAGATGGTTACAGGAAGATCAGCAACTACACCATGGGAGTTCGAGATTGCAGGTACTCATCTTATGAAAATAAATCTTGGAACTCTAGGAGCTGTAACTCCAAAGGGAAACGCCTGTCTCAAAAACTGGAAAACATGTGCATGATTTTTCTCTTTCTCTAAGACTCCACTGAGCCCAAACTTGAGTGCTTCACAATTTGCAGACCTGAGTCTAACGCCTTTATTATCATCAGTTCACATGTTAACACAGCTGCCTGCATTGCATTGCATTGCATTGCACTACGTGTAAACATTCACCCTTCCTCTTCCCCTTTATTTTGAAAATGTGGGCTTTGTTCTGTTTGAAAAAATTCTAATGTTAAGCTGAGGGTCTGCCAGTCACCTTGCCAATAAGCTGGGGTCCAATACTAATTAGAACCCAGAGAAAGGGGACAAATGAATTTCAGCCAGGTGGAAGTTTTTGTGAGTGCTTTTGTTCCATTCTTGAAGGCCTCTTAGGATTCAAAACTCATAATTCAGGACCAAGCCTGACAAAGGTTGACAAGCAGTGTTGTTCACTGGCTGTTGGGTGCAGCCATGAGGCTCAAATGCAAATGCAAGTTTGTATTTAGTTAGTTCCCTAACTTAGAAAGTAAACGTTTTTCAACGAGTTCATTTTTAATTCAGGAATGAACAGTTAGCATTCTTGTGCAAAATGAAACCCTAACTCTGTTATATAGTCCCATTTTAAATTTATATTTGCTTAACAGGACCGCAGTATATTCTACAGCCAAAATCATCATTTTTAATAAGAAGTTTCCCAACACTGGCTAGTCTGGAATTAGCAACCATATGAAGCCGTTGACCGCTGAATTGTCCAAGTAGTGGCACCCCTGCAAAAATTTTCATTTTCTAAGGCCGAGGATTTAGCTCAGTGGTGCCGCCACCTACCTCACAAGTGCAAGGTCCCGAGTTCGATCTCTGGTACCAAAAAAAAAAAAGCTTCATTTTCTGTTAGAATTATATCAGAGATCAAGGTTAAAATTATATGGCTGCTTTACTGAGAACGTGGTCATACTGTCTACTCTTGTTCAGGCCTGGGGTGGGCACTATAACCTATAACAAAATAGGTTGTATCCTGCCTATTCTCAACATACATGCAATAAAATTTTGTATCCATGCTCTGTTTTGAATTGAAGACTTTTGTCTGTCATTAACTTATGCTACAACAAACCCAAGATCAGTTCTTCTGTTCTGTTTTATGGCTTTTGAGTTTCTTCTTTATTTTTCTTCTTATTTTTCCTCTTCTCTTCTCCTCCTCCTCCTGCTCCTCCTCCTCCTCCTCCTCCTTTTCCTTGTCCTTCTTCTGTACTGGGGATTGAACCCAGAGCATTTGCACTGAGTTACATCCCCAACCCTTTCTTATTTTTTACTTTGAGGCAAGGTCTGGCTAAGGTACCCAAGTTGAACTCAAACTTGAGATCCTCCTGCCTTAGCCTCCTGGAGTGCTGTTATTACAGGCATGTGCCACCACACCCAGCTAAATTTGGGGATTTTCTTAAAATGACTTTATTGAGGTATGACTGACATACAAAAACCTGTACATACTTAATGTCCATAACCTAGTGAGCTTAGGGATAATTATATACCCCTGAAACTATCACAATGCCACAAAGATATCCATCACCTCTGAAAGTTTTCCCCACCTTTTTTTGTGATAAGAGCACTTAATCATAAGGTCTGCCCTATGAGCAAATTTTTAAGTTAACACTATGGTTAACTGTAGGCACTCTACTGTAGAGTAGATCTTTAGGACCTACTCATCTTATGTAACCAACATAACCAAAAGCTTTGGACCTTTTGACCAACACCTCACTTCCCCATCCCTCCATCCCATAATAACCCCATTCTCTGACGTGAGCTTGACTGTGTTACACTCTACGTAGGTGAGATCATGCGGTATTTCATCTTCCATGCCTGGCCTGTTTCACTCAGCACCATCCCCTCTAGGTTAACCCATGTTGCTTATAAATTGCAAGCTCTCCTGTTGCAAGGCTGAATGATTTGTAGGTTCTGTGTCTCCTCATTTTCTTTATCCACTCATCCATCAGCAGAAGCTTGGTTTGCTTCCATGTCTTGGCTTTCATGAATCATGCTACAACAGACACATTTCTCTTTGAGATCCTGATTTTAATGCCTTTGGATACATTCCCAGCAACTGGAGGGATGGATCTCATGCTAGTTCTGTTTGTAATATTTTGAAGAGCTTCGAGCTGAGCTTTGTGCTGTTTTCACAGTAGCTGTGCCCATTTGCATTTCCTCCAAGTATAGGAGGGTCCCTTTCCAACACGCCCTAACCAACTCCTGTCTCCAGGGGTTTTGATAGTTGCCTCCCTATCAGGTGTGAGATGCTGTCTCATTGTGTTTTTGTTTGTTTTGTTTTGTTTGAGACAGGATCTCACTGTGTAATCCAGGCTGGTCTTGGACTCACTTTTAGCCCAGGCTGGCCTCAAACTCATAGTGATCCTCCTGCCTCAGCCTCCTGAGTGCTGAGACTATGGGTGTGTGCCACCACCCCTGACGTTGTTGTGGCTTTGATTTGTCTTCCTCTGGTGATTTGTGACACTGAGCACATTTTCATATACCTGGTGGTACATTGCATGATATTCATTTCTGCCCTTCTGTACTTCCTCTGTCCACTTTTGTGAAGCAATGTCCTCAGTCTTACAGAGAAACTGTCACCTCTGTCACTAGCCTGACTGCCCGTAAACCAAGCAGCTCTGCTGTTAATCAGCTACTTTTCGGGGACTGGTTTAGGAGAAACCCTGAACTCACCCTCACACTACTCTTAACAACAGCCTGGTGGAAATTTCGGAAATGACACTGGGGAAGCACGGACTGTCTAGAAATGCTGCGGTCTACTCTGGAATAAGCCAGGCTGGCCGAGACCCCTGTACATGGAGGCTGGCATTTCACCCCCGAGGAATCGCTCTCCTACAGCTGTACACCAGCCAGCACCGGGCATTGTGCTAAGGAATCCATTATCACATCTCCTACAAGGATATTGTGGGAGATGTTGCTCACTACATTACACCAGTGGCCTCCGCCACAGAAGTTTCTACACTCATGGTATCTGTAATAAATATACCAATCCTGAGCAATGGATTCATTTTTTAGGCTCAAGTTCTTATGCATTGTGTAACTCATGATTTTTGCCTTCTTGCCTTGGCTGCTAGGACATTCACTGACCAGCATGAGGCCATCTCCACTACGCCCCAAGACATAACATGCATTTCATCTGCTAAGCTCATTTCTGAGAGCATTTTAGTTGTCTCCTTCTATCTTCAGTGTTTCTTGATTTTTTTTGTCCATTTCTAACAAATAAAAATAACTCCCAGTTTAGGTTTATTCTACCTAGAGAGCCAAATATGCTCACCCTATATTTTTAAATATATTACGTATAAAGAACTCAATAAAAGCCCAGGGCAACCCTACCCGCTAGAGTTCACCGCACTGCTCCGATCGTAACTTAACCCCTTGCTGCCCTCCCAGGTTCACCTTTGAGACTAGAACAGACTCCCAGTCTTTCCCCGGATGCCGCCACATCTGCAGGAAGGAGTATCTCCAACCAGAGTGCTGTCCTGGCCACTGGGGTCCAGACTGCATGGGTGAGTGCACAACCTGGGATTGACATTTGCTTCTCAAGGTTGTATGTCATGTAAAATTGGGAGGAACGAAGCCCACTAGAAGGAAGAGGTAAGCATCTTTTTCTAGAAATTTCCATTTCAGTCTACATGTATAAAATATTTCATGCCCCCTTTGTTTTTATAAAGAAATCAATCCAGGCATGGTGGCTCATGCCTATAATCCCAGTACTCTGAGAGGCTGAGGCAGGAGGATCCCAAACTTAAGTCCTACCTTGGCAACTCAGCAAGATCCTGTTTAAAAGTGTTTAAGGGCCAGGGAGTTAGCTCAGTGGTTTCACTACCTGCTGGGCAAGCGCAAGGACCTGAGTTCGATCCCTGGTACCAAAACAAAAAAAAGTAAAAGAGCCGGGAATTTAGCTCAATGGTTCCAGTGCCAGCCGGCAAGTGCAAGGTTCCAAGTTCAATCCTTGGTACCAAAAAATTTAAAAAATGTTTTTAAAAGTGTTTAAAAAGCTGAGGATGCTGGGGATTTAGCTCAGTGGTGCTGCCACCTGCCTTGCAAGTGCAAGGTCCTGAGTTCGATCCCCAGTACCAAAAGAGCGCTGTAGCTCAGTGTAAAGGCCCTGGGTTCAATTCCCAGTACCAAAACAAAAATTCCCAACAAAGAAATTACTTCACTGCAGTTAGAGATCTCTCTGAGAGAATTCCTTTATAAGTCAGAAAAAGGGGTATTAAAAGGAATATCCATTTTTATATTTAAAAAGATAACTTATCAAAGAGAGATCCTGGGCAATTATGATCCCAAATACTATTTTAAGAAGAAATTTCATTACATCTCAAACACTATAGTAAATAACCATTAAACATTATAAAAATTGAAGTCTTAAAACAGAATATCAAATTCTATGATGTTGAATTATAATGCTTTAATGTAAAGAAACTGTAAAGTTAACTACATAAAGTTATATGCAGTATTTGTAGGTATAGAAATTAATTCTGAAGAGTTTCTATGGTAACAAAAACTGCTAGTAAATCTTGGGCAGTGATATACTCAGATTTCTATAACCGAGCCTAATCTTTGTGGGGTGAAATTGAACTGTCATCCTCGTTACAGGTTATTAGTACTCAGGGCCTACAGCTTTGTTGTGATATGCAAATGATTTGAAATTCCCTATTGTTTGGTAGTCAAAATCAGAAATTTTAATTCCTAAATTCACTACTTGTTCCCTATCTTCTAAGATGTAATGAAAATGCCTCCCTAAGATCATGTTAAGGGAGAGATTAGTGTCTTACGCTCTGCAATATTTTTTCCCTCACCAAAGTAATGGAACCAAATTGTACACACCTTGTGAAGTTCAGAAAGATATAAAACAGAAAAATATCCACTTATATTCTTTTTTGGGGTGGGGGGTACCGGGAATTGAACTTGGGATCTTGCGCTTGCGAGGCAGGAGGCGGAACCACTGAGCTAAATCACTGGCCCCATCCACTTATATTCTGTCACATGAGGGAAACTCTGAACATTTTGGCTTATTTCAATCTTGGTCTTTTTTCTATATAACTCCTAAGTCGGTGAGCCCATATCGTATGCACAGTGTTGTCTCCTTTCTTTCTAACTACTGATGAAATTGTTAAATCAATCACAATTTCCACTTATTCAACATGACTGACATTAGGTGCTAGGGAAATCCTTGGCCCTTTCTCATCCGATGCAATTCTTGAAACAAATCTTTGAGTTGGACAGCTTTATCCTCATTTTGCTTGGAAGGAATCAGATTTGAATGTTATCTCTTGCAAATTTCCTTTCGGGATGAGAAGTGATAAAGTAAGTTCACATTCAGGGCTTCTTGGCACCAAAGGCTGCTGACTTGTCTTCTTTGTCCCATTGTCTAAAGCAGAGCTTGTCAAGAAGGGAGGAGAGAGAGACGGGGCGGGGGCACCTCCACTTTTACTTCCATCCTCTTCCATCCTAGGTCCTCCCAGCTTTACCAGTCAATGCCTCGAGTGTGCTTCCTGTCCGGGGAAGGTCAAGGTTTAGGATTCAGGCATCCTGACCCTTCTCTCTGTTAACTGCCCCGTGTTAAGTTCCACCCAGCGTGTTGACCCTGTGCATTCCTAAGAGCTTAGCACATCAGGGTCAAGTCCATAGACTAAGGGCTTTAGAGCAATTAACCTTTCAGAGTCTTTAAAGGAATGGACCTGGCCCTCCAGATTCCAAGGATTTTTCCTCTTAGTCTCATATATAGTGAGGTCTTGCAGACATCCTAATAGAGCAGAAAGGATGCTGAGATTCACTACCCCATTTCTATCTAACCCGTGGAAACTAATCTACTGCTAAGCTATGAGTCAGAGACACTGTAGACAAGAACAGGCTTAGTCTAGGACACATGACAAAGTTGGCACGTCCAACAGAGCGAATGACCAACCACAGCTAGCCAGGCAAAAGATGCAGAGCCTGCGACCAAGCTTCAGGTTTGGAACCTTAATGCAGATGGCTTCCTGCTTCTGCCTCAGTCTCCTTATCTGTCAAAGGAGGGTTAAATGTCTTACTTTACAAAACTCTAGATAAGATTCTTCAAACATTAACCCAAGTGAAAGAAAGGACTTTAGGAAAAGTCTGAACGCGCTTCCTGCCCTGGTGTTGTGTTACGTGCAAGGGAACATGGCATGTTGCACACCCAGATCCAGGAAAGTCTAGTGGAGTCTGAATATTCAGGCATTTCCTTTGAGAGCTCTCAAGGCCAGAAATGCAAAACACGAAGACCAAGGCCAGGACATCAGCCCTGTTGTCCTCTCTTTGGGGCGAAAGGGCATTTCCCTTTATCTTCCTATTCCCAACGTACTCACTCTTGTGCAAGGCTTGCTTCCTCTCAGTCAGGAAAGATAATCCCCAGTTTGGCTGTGAGTCACCCTCACACTGGAGTGAGGACAAGCGGGCCTCGCCTGTGGCTCTGCACTTCCACAGGGACAAGGCAAGGTGGGGCGGGAGCTGCTGACGGTGTCCCTCCCTCTCCCGGAGGAAGCGTTCCCAGCCTGCAGGGGCCCCTTCCTTTCCAAGGAGCCACAGACGGCTCTCTCTCACTCACCAACTCGGGGTGCTTCGAAAATTAGGTCCCAGAGCCTTCCTCAAGTAAGAGAGTAAGCCCAGAGTCAGCGCTGAAAACAAAAACCACGATGGAGAAGAATTATCCACCGTCTTCTAAGATACAGAGTAAGGCATGAATTCTCACATAGGGCTGGCATCCTGACATAAGCCAGGCCTTTTTACTTGAATTGAGCCTTCTTCTCCCTCTTAAGATTGGCACTGCTTTATCAAATGTACTTCTGGAAGTCTTCTCGTTAGTGCAGAAATGTATTTTTAACTGTGAAACTTAATCATGTTTGAACAGCAAATATTCTACTTAAGGAGAAATAGGTTTTTCTTTTTCTTCTTTTTTTTCAGTATTGGAAATTGAACACAGGGTGTTCACACTACCGCTAACTCCATTCCCAGCCTTTGTTTTGTTGTTGTTGTTCCTGTGTGTGTGTGTGTGTTTGTGGGGGTTTTGACACAAGGTCTCGCTAACTCCCTAAGTTGCCCAGGCTGGACTCACAGTTGCGATCCTCCTGGCTCAGCCTCTCAGTGGCCTCGGATTCAGGCCTGTGCCACTATTCCCAGCTTGAGATAGAATTTTCATTTGTACATCTTGTTCTTTTTATTGCACCATGAATTTATGGGCTTTGAACAACAACTCAGAGGAGCAGAATTCCAATGTATGCAAAGCGGTCACACCCAAACTCAACTGTGGCCAAGACAACCCTAATTCAGAGACAAATGGTCTGAGTTTTGAGTTTTTGTGGGGTTTTTTACTAAATTCCTCAACGTTCATTCTTTATGCTACACAGGTTGCAAATCACAGACAATGCAGATTGAAACCATTCTTTCAGGCATCGCTTTTTTTCCTTTGAGTGACAAATAACATGGAGTTCACAGTCAGAATCTGTTTCACTTCCACTTCGGGGCAGGTGATGGTGTCCAGGGATACACGGGGACTATCAGCAAGCTTGGCGTGACTTCTGCCAGCCCTGTGCAGCGAGGCTCTAAGGCAAGGTAGCGACATGCGAAAGGCACCTCGAGGGCCTCCGAGGAGGTTAAGTCACAGGGTGGCCGCTGGCTGCTCGCTGGGCAGGAGGTGCATTATCTTCCTCTAGAGAAACAGAGGCTGATGATTTACTGACAGCTCCTAACAGCTGAATCTGCTGGGTGAGAAAAGTCTCAGTACCAGAGACCGCCAGAGCAGTGGTGACCCAAAGAAATGTCATAATGGCCTCAGATCGTCTCCTCAGCACCTCCAGTCCCACAGAGCCTCAGAACTGCCCGCGTAGCACATCCTGCAATACCTCTTTCAAGTGCAGGTGCTGAGAAGGCTAGTTTAGCATCTTCATTCTTTCTTCGGTACCAGGGATTGAAATCAGGACTTTGCACTTGCCAGGCAGGTGTGGTGCTGCTGAATTAAATCTCCAGCCCCTACCATCTCCATTCTTAATGGGGGTTGAGGTGATAGAAAATGATTTGAGAAGCAGGAAACAAACTTATTCTTTTGCCTTACAAATGTATTTCAAAACCAAACAAATATTTTCATATATTTTTAAGATATTTCAAACAGGCCATAAAATGATGATTCCTTACAGCCCCACACTCTTTCCATCTTCTTCTGAAGTTCTTTCCAGGGTTGGCCAACTCATAAAAATCAAGCATTTATTGAGTGCCTACAATAGGCTGCACATACAGAGGACCCTCAAGTTACAACCAACCCAACATAGGGACAACTTGGGTTACAACCAGAATTTTAGTTTTAACTTACAACCAAAGTCTTGAGTTATGACCCAAATGCCAGCCGCTTGTGCTTCCAGACGGTCTCAGATACAGTTTTAACCCTTAAGGGGTTCTGGAAGGAACATGACAGCATCCTCTCCTGTGTGGGGTTCACTGAGAAATCCTGGGCCGGTGTCTCTCTAAGGACACTGAGATCTGCCTGTGT